GAAAAGAACATGATTTTACCTGACAAAGATAAGCCCCTTTTTAAAAGGACTTGCTTTACAAAGAGACAGTTGTGCACCTACTACTAAGTTTAGCTGGTAAAACAACTGAGCATTTTATAAACATCCTCTACTTTGTGTATGAGGGGAGAGCACTGGATATCGTATACCTCAGTGGTACCAAGGCTTTCGGCATTGTCTCCCACAATATTCTTGCATCCACGTTAGGATATTGTGGTCTGGATGACTGGACAACTAGATGGGTCAAAATCTAGCTGGATGATTGGGCTGGACATGTAGGCCAACAGGAGCCTTATGAAATTCAGCAAGGACAAATGTGGAGTCCTGTACCTGCGAAGGGGTAACCCTTGCAGCAGTACAGGCTGGGGGCTGACTGAGTGGCTGGGTTCAGCTCTGCTGGAAGGAACCTGGGCATCTTGGCAGGCAGCAAGAAGAGCACAAGCCATCAGTGCTCCCTGGCAGCAGAGGGCCAAAAACATCTGGGGCTGTATTGGCAGGACCGAAGCTGGTCAAGTGAGGAAAGTGATTGCCCCCCTCTACTCAGCGCTTATTAGACCACATCTGGACTACTGTGCCCTATTTTGGGCACCCCTAATACAAGAAAAATATTGACCAACTAGAGCAAGTTGAGCTGGGGGCTACAGAGGTGCTTGGGCTGGAGCGCAGGTCCTGTCAGCAGTGGCTGAGGGACCTTACTTTGAGAAAGAGGTTGGACTAGAGATCTGCTGATGTCTCTTCCAACCTGAATGATCTGGTAAAAGTCATTACTAAGATGTTTAGTTTTCATATCCATGTCTCAATTTAAAATCAAATTATTTTACTTAACAAATAAATCTTTCTCCTTTACCCTAGTTTTTATTATTATCTTAGTAAAGATAACGAAGACTTTTTGCCAAAAATTACATTTTTAAATACAGAATATTAAAACATACAAGTCTTTTATTCATGATGTGAAACTACATGTAAGAACTAGGTTTCAGTAAGATCATAGCATTGAAAAGGAAGGAAAAAACATTTTCTTTATGCCTAAAGCATCAGAAAGTATTAAAATAACGCTGGCTCAAATCCATTATTGACATTACTTATCTCCAGTCTTAAATACTGAAAGATGTCTTTGATTATTTTCACTTTTATATGTAATGTACAGTGAAACATGCAAGAGATCACTGTTCAAATTTTAAAACTACGTGTGTATGCCCAGTACAAAGAAAGGATTGTAAAAAAGAGATCCATATTGGACTGGATGAAAGAGAAGGTCTACAGGTGTGTGGCCATGACTTACTACATAATATGTCTGAGGCAGGTAAAAAGGTTTTGGAGGCAAAGATGCTTGGATTTGGGATGAGTTGTTGAGGTGAAAATAGACAAGATGAGATCAGAAGCAAGGAATAGGAGCAGAAGGGCATAGATAGAAGAATCAGAACCTACTTGAGCATACCTTCTTCTCATGGAAGAGAGAGTTTTAGCAATCCCCTGCTATCAGGGTGTCCTTTAATCTTATGGTGTATTGTGCTATTTTTACTTACCTGTTGCAATCCTGATAATTATTAATTGTAATTTTATAAAAATCAAATACATGAACCTAAATTAATTAAGTACTGAACTGGCCTTCCTTTCATTTATATAGTTCTATTCTTGCATGGGGTTTTTTTGTGTTTAGTGGTGCTGTGTTTTTCACTTACCACTGGAGGTTAATTTTTAACTTCTGAGTGTTAAACTGAAAGTCATGATATACTGCCAGTGTCTTTACTAAGTTACCATCAGCCGTGTAATTAAAACTAATTTGAAGTGAGATCTGAAGCTACTCAACTTCAAGTCATAGATATAACAGAAACGAAGTGTGTTGACACATTGGTACATTTCAATAATTCAGTAGTCTGGCCCCATAAAGGGGTTGTTTTATCACAGCTCTCAAGAGAACAATTGACTGGAGCACTGTATTGGTGGACTGTGTGGCTACAGCCTTCCACTTACAGGTTTAATAGTGATGCTTAAATAGCAGACTCAATTTTCTAACATGCAAGATGCACCTATTCCTTTGTCAATTAAACTTATTTCTCTATCCAGCCTGAAAATCAGGAAGTGGTCATGGGAGATCTAGAGATTAGTTATGAGAAAAAAGAGATTCTCTTTTGGATCTGAGGTAAGTTGCTTCCCTCACATTGTAATCTTAGTTATACAGAAAATGAGTGCAGCCCAGATAGATAGGTAAGAAGGGTATCTTTAGGCTTAAAACTGTTAAAAAGTTATAACAAAACTGCAGAAACAGAAAGCAGGTGCAAAAATGTTCATTGGTTAAAGCCTTTACAACCTCAATCAATCTCTAAAAATCAGCCTTAACCAACTTTCATATTAGAGTAGCTACTTGACTAAGAAGATGACACATATATTTCAGGACCAAAATCACAAAGACTACTTACACCACACAACCAATTTTATCAATTCAAGCAGAGGTTGGGAGCCAGAGATTTGAAGAGATCAAATGATCTGCAGGAAGCTTCAGCCTGGAGCACTGAACGCCTCTAACCGTTTCACTCATTGCATTACTTGTGTTTTTTTCATCTGAAATAGGATTGTTCCCAAGTTGAAAATTTCGATAGTAAGTACAGCAAGTACCATATTTGAGTACAGAGTTTGGATATCTTTTTCATTTTTAAGAGAAACCAAACAGTTAAAATTCCCTTTTGTATGATATCTGAATATGACAAGCAGAAGAAAAGATTTGCTTTTATATTCTAAAATTGGGAGAGGCTCTTTATTACACCTTATTCCTTCCTGACATACTTACTACTGTACAGAAACTCTTAAGTAAGATGTAGAGTCCTTTTCAAATATTTAGATCCACCTGTTTACTATTAATTTCATTCTCTGCTGTGATCATCCTATTTCTGGAAAGGTGAAATTCAGCTGGAATGATAGCAGTTGTGCCGTGTAGTACCAGATGCATCAGGTTTGATTGCTGTTTGGCTAGAGACACTCATGTAGATGGCTGACTGTGCGTGTTTAGAGCGGGCACCGACTTTTGAAGAAACAAATACCAGTTTCTACATTTAATCTTTTTTTTCTCTATCTGTGATATGAAGTGCCAAAAGTGGTCAGATTTGTTTCTTCAGTAGCTTTTCTATGAGCAAACATTGAAAAAAAAATCTTCTAGAATTGGAGTCTTTCCTTTGACTTGTTTTAAAATGTTGCAGTTTTTCAGAGTAGGAAGCAAACTACTTATCTTTTCTCAGAAACCTCTGTCTGAAAACTCATGTTTATGAAAACAATGAAAAAATTATATGCAATACATTTGTCATTTGTACATGTAACCATTTTCCATTGCACTTGCTCATTAAATACGCTTTTACCATCCTGTTTTTTACAGCCAAACAAAATTCTGAGTCATTCCCTCTGTTGGCTTTGGAGAAGCAATCACTCAGCCTAGAACTGCTTTCTGCTTGCAGATTCCTTCAGCTTTCAAAAAAGAAACTGAATACAATGCAAAAAAAAATTTATCTTTCACATGCATATGTATCTGTGATTCAAAGACATCAGCTTTTAGGCCCTATGGTTTTGGCAAAGAGTGAAACTGAAAAGGCCAGTTTCAATGGGATGACTGTTTTTAATGTTGCACAGCATCTGATGCTTTTAAGACACTTTAAGCTTTGATTAAGGACATATTTTTGCTATCCTGTCTGATAGTGGTGGGTGGGATGTTCCTCCTGCTACACCGCTAAATGCCTTTAAAGCAATCCGGTTGTATAATCAGAGTTCCAGCCTTATTGTAACCCTGTTTAGCACAAGGCTAACTCTGGTCTGATGAGGCTTATCTCCCTTGACCCGCTCTCTAGGCTACGGTAGAAACAATTCACAGCCTACAACTAACAAAGAATATAGTAATACAATGCAATGATTCAGGTTTGTATGGTAATGCTGTGTAACAAACTGCTTACCTCCCTTACTTGCAGCCACTTGTTCCCACAGTTTGACCTGTACAACTGTGTGCATGGCTGCTGTTTATCTGAACCAGCAAAATGACCAGGTTTAAGTTTCTAAATACCCTTTTTTATTTCTGTAAAGTGCTAACAAACTTTACATTTAATCAGGCTTGGGAGAAGTGTTTTACAAGTAATAGGCTGGCACTATTTTAATGAAGTTTTATTTTTAGACAGGGGATATAAAACAATGTTCGTGGCAGATTTTGAAGGTACCAGTGTGAGTTTTGTGCCACAATCCAGTTCAGTTCCCGTGTTCCTTCTGCACCTACCCGCTGTTTGCCTCTTTGAAAACTCTCTGCAGCTTCTAAACACACAACCAGACGTGTTGTTACTGGCTCAGGAAAACTTCCATAGCTTCAGTCAGATCTGTGTGCTGCTGAGTACAAAACAAAACCTTTTAAAATTATTAGTGTAAGATTTTGCTTTTCTGGAGATTGCTGTTAGCAAATGCAAGCTTTACCTCCTTACTCACAAGCCAAGTAATTAAAGCTTCACTTCTGTTTACTTCTGAAAGTTACATTCTTAACGTGTTATGTTTATTATTTCCAATTCCTTTCTATTTAGACAAGCAATCCGCGAAGTAATCACTAGGCTAATCAAATATTTAGTGTAGGGCTGACTTGATGAGGTAAATTGGATACTGCAAGAGGTCAAAGTTTATAGCAAGAGACTGTTCCCTGATCTGGCTGAGGAGGTTAACTGCAGTTTTGTAGCATTTGCAGGCACCGTGACTTCTTGTTAGGGTTAAAGTTTGAACTAAGAAGCTTAGGTCGCCAGCTTTTCTTCTGCACTGTGTTAAATAAGATCTCACTTCTGTTATTCTAGGTGGAATAAAGGTGTGCCAAAACAGTGTCATCATTTGTGATCTCAGTTTAGGGAGAAGAAGGAAACTTTTGCTTTTTTATAGTGTAAAATGAATGCATAATAGAAACAATAAGTCTAAGGATTTATTCACGTGAGGTTGTATGAGAGTTTCTTAATGTACTTTTTCTTTCTTTGCAGCTATTGGCTGACAAACAAGGTCCACATTAAACGACCCAGCACTGGTCTCCTCATGTATACGCTTGCCACCAGATTTTGTGATGAAATACATCTGTATGGATTTTGGCCGTTCCCAAAGGATTTACATGGAAAACCAGTCAAGTATCATTATTATGATGATCTGAAGTATCGGTACTTTTCTAATGCCAGTCCTCATAGGATGCCGTTAGAGTTTAAAACGTTGTATGTATTACATAACAGAGGAGCACTTAAATTAACAACAGGGAAATGCGTACAGCAATAAAGCACATGTAAAGTACAGTAAGAAGTACATAATACACACTTCATCATAAAGATGTTGTGGAATGGCAATGGGATCCCAGTGAGGATATGTTTCAATACCCACTAAGCCATCAGAAAAACCAATTTTATCAGAAGTACATAACCAGCTATTATACCTGTAAAGTGCTATATAACTAAGCTATCTTGACTGCAAGGGTTCAAGTAAGTGCCACTTTCACTAAGAACAAAGCTTGAATGTATACTCAGTAGTGTTTACAGGATCCAGTGACACATTCATCATGAATTAAAGAAGAAAAATATAGCCTGCTTACTGCTGACTTGCCACTGCGGTCAGCCCACAGAAGAAATCCTCAGTAGATGGAATATTTTCTTGAGCAAATAAACCAGGCTTTGGCAGAAAATATCATGATGGAATCAAGTAGAGAAAGTGAAGTCCATAAGATCAAACAAATCAGTAAATGCCTTCAGTCAGAGGACTGTTTCTGATCTTGTATTATAACCTCGGCTTTTTGTTGCTGTTTTTCTTATTGCTGTTGGTTGGGTTTTGTTGCTTTTGGGTATTGGAGCCCTTGAAGAATTTTGAGGATGTTATGAATCATTGAAAGTATATATCTTACAGAATCCTCTTAGGAAAAAAATTCGTAAGGGTGGGAGGTTGGAGGGAAACATCAAATATTTTATCAGTTGTTATTGTGTTGTATCCTGCTGTCACACAACCCTTAACATCCCAATTGTTTTTTTAGATACCGCTGTAAATACCCACTACATGGAATCACTCAGAGGTCATTTTGATCATTTTTAAAGGGAAGTTTTTCTGTTGTGTTCAGATTTGAAGACATATGAGAAGGTGCCCTTATTTTTGGTACCAAAGATTACTCTTACACACATTTTTTTTCCTTTCCTTGAAGAAATGGTGTAGATTTAGTATGATGTTTCTTTGCTGCTGAAGGGAAAATATTCTTTATGTTATTTAAATTTTTGAATTAAGCATCTCAAATCAAAGCCTATTTATAGAAGTTCATTCTTCAGAAAAATCTGCAGGAGTAAAGAGATTATTTCATACATTCAAATACATATATATACAATTTTTATTCCTGATTGAAAGTAAAACACAAAGTCTAAAGGAACCCAGGTGACATTGGAACATGTCTAAAGAAAAAAAAAAGACCTAGCCAATTGAATGGAAAATAAAAGAACTGTACATCAAACAGTTCTTTTAAAACTTAAATTTCTAATGGTCTTGGATGATCTTTCTCTCTAATATACCTCTTTTCTATCAGCTTGATGTTCTGGTGTGTAAATGACTGAAATAACACAGAGCTGCATTATCTCACAGTGATTTTTCTGAGCATCAGTCTTGTTTATCGACGAAATCAAGAATTCTTCCAGTCTCTTCTTTCAAAAAAGAGAACAAGAAATTACAGGAGGGTAGGACACAGTGGAGTGTTGTACAGCATATACTAAGATACAAAACCTGTCTTCATATGGTATGTTTTAGCGCTAATGGAGCAGGTAAATGAAGAACATCATGGTTCCACCATTTTAATGTCAGGCTAGGCTAAAGAGGAGGCATGCAGACACAATGTATGGGTATTTTCTTGTTATGTTTTCATCTCTACGTTAGGTCCTCATCTCCAAATATGATATTCCATGTATCTGTTGAATTTTGAACTAGTCCTAACATGATCACCACTGAAACCAAGGCATCACAAGGAACTATACAGCAATACAGACTGTAACGTGTTTAATTTGTTGTTGATAAGCCAGAGGGTGTTATTTATACACAGTGTAAACTTGCAGTTTAAGACAAGGTTATTTTCTTGATGAAAGGTGGGCATATTCCTATTCTTTCGGTTAGGGTTTTGCTGCTGTTGATCTTTTAAAACATATTTCATATACATTGACAGAATTTCTATTGAGATAAAGAATTCACAGGTGCCAGTCTCACAGAAACTCAAAGAAGCATTTATCTTTTCTTCTGGGAATGTCTTCTCTTCTCTCTAGTGTCAGGCCATCAACAAAAAGGGAATTCAGGTAGACTGAAATATTAACTAACAGGTGATTTTTTTCACCTCAGGGAAGATTTTAGTACACAAATTTGTTATTTCTCTGGGAGTAAAGTAGATGAAGACACTCCAATTCCTGTGGTAGTAAAAGAAATAATTTGTGTAATTGAATAAGTGAAAACAATGAGACATATATAGGAAGACAGATGGAAAAGGTTTGTCTTTAGAAGTCAGCAGATGAAGAAAAATATGGCCTGAGCCTGTTTTGCAAGCTTCACTTTTGATTCTCTGTGAGTGAAGTTAACTTCAGTACACAAGCCGTAGAGTCCAAATTTTTACCGTATCTCTAGATCTGGTAGAACAGGGTGATACAGGGTTTCTCCAACTTGGTTTGGCACAAGACATGACAGTAGCACCTAATTCCAAGACAACAGTGTTTGCCCGTACCTTCTCAAAAACTTGCCTTAACCTCATCTCCTGCAGGCTTTCCACGTTCAATACTGCACACTTCTGGCACCATGAGCCATGGTCTCATGGTTCTTTACTGTCATCCACACCCCTCTCATAGCACCCTCCCCTCAAACTGGCAGCCAGGTGTGTCTCCCCACCAAAAGCACAGGACTCGCTAACCTGTCTCCTGTCTCACCTGCTTCAGCTTTATCCTGAGCTGAAGTGTAATGTAGTAAGTGGTAGGTTTCAAACCATTCTCTGGGGTAAGTAGCAGTTGTAGTCTTTGACCATGCAAGTTTTCACAAGCACTAGGAGTCGTTTTACTCTATTGCTTCTGCTTTGAGGTGGTTTGTGACCACCAGTTAGTGGTTACTCTAGGGTGACCTGAGGTGGGACATGCCTAGAGCTTTTCCTCTTAGGTTACATGGCCTTGGTTGTTAGTCCTGTCACTGCTGGGAAGCTGTAGTAGTGGACTCATTGCAGACACCCTTTCTTACCTTTCCCTTCTACCTCCTGGCTCTGTATTGCCCTGGGGCTCTTTATTCATTTCTGTTGAGGCATCCCCGGTCATGAATGAAAAAAACCAGATTACTTCCACTGTGTGACTCTTCATCCCTATAGGTGACCTGGGGCATAGCCCCTAATGCTTAGCTGCTGTATGGGGACTTTACAGTGGACTATATTTTCACCTTGTGGTCCTTCGCTGTGCAGCAGTCAACAGCTCAAGCCTCCATAGCTGCCTTGGATAATTTCTGTTGTTTATATACATTCACATGTCCTGTGCTGACTACAGCACAGATCAGATAAATAGGCTTTATTATAATTACAACTTTTATCATCCAACATTATCAACAACTAATACAAAATAGAGAGGATAAAAAAAAGGATCCCTAATATTGTAATGACATCCGCCCTGGTGAGGAACAACTGAGGAATGCCCGTCAGTTGAGAGTTCCTCAAATTTATCCTCACATCAGTCATATCAATTGCCAGGTATGGTTCCTAAATGCATGTTAAAAATAAGAACTGGGAGCTACATCAAGACAGCAGACAGTGTATATTTTTCCGAATCTTATGGCAGCTTTAGATTGAACAACTTGATTTCATTCAGATAAATTTATTGTAAATCGTTTATTAACACATGTTAATATTTCTGTGGCAGAGAGTCTTTCATATTTCATAAAAATAATAGATAAATATATTTGATTGTGAAGTTTTCAGCTTTGGGACAGTTCTCTCTCCCGCAGCTCTGAGCCACACTCCAGATATAAGATCTAGTGAATCTTTCAAACCTTGGCTGGTTTACACAATCTAATATGTAATAAAGACTGTACCATTCTTTTGTGAAACAACATAATCAACATGTCCTTGAGGTCAGCACCTTTTCTCTAATTGACTGCAATTTGAAGAAAAACAGGTGTGGGTTCAGTACCTTTTTTTTAGTGTTTGATCTAGCAAAGTGCTGAGCACTCTTTACAGTGACTTTCCTGGGAGAGACATGTCCAGGATTTAGATGGGGATCTAGATTAGCATATTTCAGGATATAACTCTGAAATTGCACATTATTTATTTTTAAGAGCACTGTTACTTTGTGAACAATTGTTCTAAATGTAGATAAAATAAAGAAAGAGCGTTTACAGAGAGCTTCACTCCTGCACAGTACTATTGCTACTGAGCATATGTAATACAATTTCTGTGGTTTAAAGTATTGATATGTATTCTGTCAGGATTGTCATGTTTGACACTGTTTCAAGTACAGCTATGGGGATTGTTTTTTCTTTGTATAACTGTAAAATAAAGAAGTTTTTTTCTTTTTTTTCTGCTATATTTTGTTCCATATTCCTTTGTAACACAGTTGTGATAATATTTTTCAATTATGTGCTAATTATAAGGATATGTGGAAAGAGAGTGTCTGCTCCTTTAAGATGTCTGGTCAAAAACTTTCTCAAGACAAAAGGGGATATTAAGAAAAGGAGGAAGCCATAAACGAGAACGCAGAGACACAAACCTGACTAACACATGATAAGTCAGCAACGAGAACCAAAACTGGTCAGTCGCACTAACTGGTAAGGATATGTGGAGTGTAGGAATGTTTATTCCAGTGAGATTATCTGATCGAGGACCTTGTCAAATGGGATACTAAGGAAAAGGGGGAAGCAATAAAGTATACGGAGACACAAACCTGACAGGCAAATCATAATGGAGACAAAGACAAGAAGCCAACCTCTTCAGTCAGACCAGCTGAACAGCTATCAAGAAACTGCAGGCAAATGGGACTTTGCGACTGATTAGCATGCAGAACTGAGGGTCCCGATGTTGGAGGGGGGTCTGTGAGACTGTGCAAACTGATGAGGCAATGTGCAGGGGAGGAAGAAAAGAGGAATAGACAGAAAAGGGGCCGGTCGCATGTAAACCGTGGCCAGTTAGTACTCTTGTCTGGCTGAGCCCTGAACCTGATAGCCGCAGTCTGTCCTAACTCCCCATTAAATCTTTTCTTAACTACCTCTCTGTGTAATCTCACTCTCTATCCTGCGCATGCGAGTGC